ATGATTTGGAAGAGCTAAAGGCTCTTCCTGTAATTAGATTAAGCTGTGTTCTGGGTCGTTATTGCATGGTATTTTCACCTTGATCTAATCAATCAGTATTTATTGAGAATCTAATACGTATTCTGCACTGCTAGGAATGATAGGAGATAGAGGGAAGTAATAAACATGGTCTCCCCCACCATGACACTTGTGATGGATGACATTCCTATAAAAGACACACGCCTGGGGGCTGTGGCATAGATAAGATCATCTGTTTAAGGGAGCATATTGAAATTCAAATGAGTGGCAGAGACCTTATGAAAAGGGAATCTTGAATCTATCCATGTATATCATTCATTCATGGACTTTGTTACTTTTTTATTAGTTAACAAATTACTTGCTGTATACTATAACTTACCATGGCACATCAGTTTGTTGCGAAGTAACAGTTGAAAACTGTTTTGGAGCTTATGACTGTAGGGGAGACAGGATTTACAGGCATAAAATAAATGAATAATTCATGATAGTGTAAAATACACTCAGGTGTGGGGCTATGCACTATGACTGCTCCTTGAGGGCTTTTGTAGTCAAGGAAATCTTTATGGAGAAAATGGCTGCTGAAAAGTGGACAGCATATCAGTTTGGGTTCTTAATTGTAAGAAACAAATAAAATCTCACTGTTTTTTTTTTAAGCAGAAAAGGAATTTATTAAAAAGATATTGGGACATGTGCAAACCCTCTGACCCTGCAATTTCATTCCTAGACACATACCCAATAGACACACATACACCTGTGTTCACCTGTGTTCACCGATGTGTCCATTTGTAATAGAACCAAACTGGAAACTATCCAAATGCCCATCAGCAGTAGCATAGACAAGTAGTGAAAGAAGGCTATACACAGAGAGAAATGACAAACTGCAGTTACACACAACAGCATGGGTGAATCTCACAGACATAATATTGAGTGAAAGAAGCCAGATACAAAAGAGAGCATAGTGAATGATTTCATTTACACCAAGTTGAAAAACAGGCAAAAGTAAACTATACTGTTAGAAGACAGGATGGCAGCTGCCCTTGGGAGGGAAATCGTAACTGGAAGGGGGAACCGGGGGACTTTGAGGAGTACTTGGAATGTTCCTGACACAATGTTTCCTGACACAGGCGGGTTCAGTTTGTGAAAATTCTTTGAGCTGTATACTTTGTGCACTTTAAATCCCTTCCGAATGTATGCTGTGTACTTTTCTGTATGTAACACATCAGTAAATTTTTACTTTATAAAAAAATGTTCATTAGGTAACTCAGAATTACTGGAGCTCTTGACTATATACCCCAAAGCCTAGTTCAGTACCCTAACACATGCCACTGAACTGCACTGCCATCACCAAGCATTAACCTGCAGCTTGCACTGCTGGCTACTGCCATTAGCTGTTCTGGCCTTGTTGCCTGGGACCCTGATCCTGCTGTAGCTACTTCCATCTGAGTGTGATAGTTCCCTTCTTGGCTGCATTTCACCGCCCTCTTATTCAGAATCTGGGGTGGATGCCTTTGCTGGGTGGAGCCTAGTATAAGTAAGTGCCATCCTTACCACAAGGGAGGCTGGGAAAGCAAGTATCTAACATTTTCAGCTGTTGTAGTGGGTGGGGATATTTGCCAGAAATTGTAACAAAAAGGCAGGGTGGCGGGTGTTTCAGATTTTGGGACCGCGAGAAAAGAGTGAAATCCCTCCTGAGGTGAACAAGTAGATTTCAAATGTTAGGAGCAGTAGAAGAAGCCTGGGAGGTTGACTAGAGCATGGTGAATGGGACCAGTGGAACAAGTTCAGGCAAATTAAAGGGTGTGTTCTGGGAACATGGCTTGAGAGAAGTTGAACGAATAGGTTGGGACAAGATTAAAGGTTACTTTGAAAGTCAGGCAGAGGAATTTAAATTTAATGTGGGAATTTTGGAGCCAGTAAAAGGTTTTTATCAAGAAAGTATCCTGAGAGAAGAGGTATTTAATTTAAAAAAAAGTTTTTATTTTATTTATTTTTGGCTATGTTGGGTCTTCGTTGCTATGCGCAGGCTTTCTCTAGTTGCGGTTCGTTGCGATGCTCAGGCTTCTCATTGCAGTGGCCTCTCTTGTTGTGGAGCACAGGCTCCAGGCACGCAGATCTCAGTAGTTGTGGCTCGTGGGCTCTAGAGCACAGGCTCAGTAGTTGTGGCGCATGGGCTTAGTTGCTTCGTGGCATGTGGGATCTTCCCGGACTAGGGCTCGAACCCCTGTCCCCTGCATTGGCAGGCGGATTCTTAACCACTGCGCCACCAGGGAAGCCCCAGGAAGAGGTATTTAAGGACCATTAATCTGACAGCAGTTCTAGGGGTAGCTAGGAGGTATCTATAGTAAGTTAGGGGTGTGGTGGTGGAGTTGGAATAGAAATAAAAGGCAAGGGGCCTTCCCTGGTGGCGCAGTGGTTGAGAGTCCGCCTGCCGATGCAGGGGACACGGGTTCGTGCCCCGGTCTGGGAAGATCCCACATGCCGCGGAGCGGCTGGGCCCATGAGCCATGGCCGCTGAGCCTGCGCGTCCGGGGCCTGTGCTCCGCAACGGGAGAGACCACAGCAGTGAGAGGCCCGCGTACCGCAAAAAAAAAAAAAGAAATAAAAGGCAAGGGATTGGATTTCAGAGGGGATTTGAAGGGAAAAAAATCAATAGGACTTAACAAAGAGAATGAAGTAGAAGCTAATTCCCAAAACCTTTTGAGCCTGAGTGTCGGGACAAGGTCCTGCCTTTCCTTTCAAGCCAGTGAGGCTGAGAAGGCGGGCTCCGATTGGAGGAAGTCGAAGAGTAGATTTTCATTGTGGAATTGTTGAGTTTGAGGTGATAGGCATTGAGTAAAAGTGGCTCCTGTGCAGCTGGAGATGTAGACTGGGATGCCAAGGAAGCCCTGTGAAGGCATAGCTCTCACAGCGACAAGGACTATGAAGGCATGAGAACAGAATGTTTTGGACCCTCAGAGCATTTCTCAGTCCTCATTTATGGGTTGGCAGATAGGCTGTTTTGATATTAATGTAGTGGCAAATGTGAACCACAACCTGTGCCTTCTGCTCCATAGCGTGGAGTTCTCCACCCCAGCACACGTTGATACTAATCATTGTTTTACACTGTTTTGTTTGTTACTCTAATATCTTTGGAAAGAAAATGATTAATACGTGCCAGGCTTTTCTTGGTTGTTTCTGATAGTTTTGAATGCTTTGAATATTCACAAGGAGAATATGTTAAAACGAGGGACTTTAAACAAGACCAAGAGAGATTGTGTATGGAAAGCAGGCCTCCAGGTGATTAGAAGAATTCTAAGCTGCAGTTCTCAACACCACTGCAGGGTAGCCTTGGATCAGTGATGCCAGCTCCATTCCAGATTGTTCTGAGAAAAGAAAGCCTGTAAAACCTACTTGGGCCTCACAAGGTCTTATTGGGGCCTTAGCCAATACATTTAGGCATTGTCAGCAACCACAAGCTTTAGCATATCAGATTCAGGCTTGGTGAGGCAGCCCGGTCTCCAGAGCATGCAGAGCATGACGGGAGCTTTGTGTACAGCTTGAAAGCTGTTGCTGAGGCATGCCTTCTTGGTATTCCTCTTAGGACTTTATTCTCTGTAGTCTATAGCATGTCCCCACTTGTAGGTGACGCTGGTGTGCTCAGGTATCATTCAAGGCTATGCAGCTATCTTAACAGGAAACAGCTCACCCCTTGGGTATATGTGTGAGACAGTGAAGAAAATCCTTAGATGATGGCCCATCATTTCTGCTGCTGGTAAGTGTGCTGGCGTATCGTATTTTGAGTCCTTGGGCTCTTCAATGCAATAGGTAATGTCCCCATGTTTAACCTAGTGTAGAAGATCAGAGTCAAGTTAGCTGAAAAGTCCCAAGGCTCTTTTGTCCCTGAAAGGTTTCTCTGCTAAAAGAGAGGTAGCAGGTTGAGAATGTAGGAAGGGACTTTAAGTCCGTGTCAAAAGATTTTTTTTTAATTAATCAATTAATTTATTTACTTATTAGTTTTGGCTGTGTTGAGTCTTCATTGCTGCGCGCGGGCTTTCTCTAGTTGCGGCGAGAGGGGGCTACTCTTCCTTGTGGTGCATGGGCTTCTTATTGCGGTGGCTTCTCTTGTTGCGGAGCACGGGCTCAGTAGTTGTGGTTTGCCGGCTCTAGAGCGCAGGCTCAGTAGTTGTGGCGCACAGGCATAGTTGCTCTGTGGCATGTGGGATCTTCCTGGACCAGGGCTCAAACCCATGTCGCCTGCATTGGCAGGTGGATTTCTGAACCACTGCGCCACCAGGGAAGTTCTATGTCAAAAGATTAATTAGGCTTTCTAATCAATTGGATTTTATTATGAAACAAAAATGATGAACGCTGCATTTATAAAAATTAACCTTTTGCTTATGGATCTAACAACCTTTGCAGTACTGTTCCTTTGGTCATATGGTACACACGCTTAGCCCTGGCCCACATCATCATTTTTTCACGTTGGAATAAAATAGTTTGCCAAGACTTCTAAGTGTCATAGGTCACATAGCTTGTGACAGGATTTAAAGCAGCAAGACCACAGAAATCAGATTTATCATTATTTATGTAGAGAGAGTTCCACCAGCTGATTTGAGAAAAGCAGGAGTTTAACACCCCTCCCACGCTTCCCCTTCACCTCATTTACCTTAAAAAACAAAAGTCCTAACAAGTAAACTATAATTGCCCAAAACAAAACTAGCAAAGCACAGAGTGTGGAAACGATTATTAGGAGGTAAAAGGCAAACGTCACCAGTCTGTGCCATTACCTGAGCATCCTATGTTGAGTAAACTTTTTGGGGAAGGGGTATTGCTAACTTTATCAACAGGATTTCGATAAAAAGATAATCACCAAGTTACCATATATATTAAAAATACTTTGTTTCATTTTAGAGCTGGTTGAACTTCAGTGCTGGATAGAGCTTGTTTTTATTTTATGTATGTTTTTGTAGTCCAATTTAAAAATCTTACTCTTTTTAATCTAGGAGCTGTCTCGTCTTATGCATTGGAACTTAATTTGACAGATTCAGAAAACGCCACTTGCCTTTATGCAAAATGGCAGATGAATTTCACAATACGCTATGAGACCACAGACAAACATAATGTAAGTATTTTTATTTGTCTTTGAGTTTTATAGTAGGAATTTACTTCTACTCTTTTTTTAGCCTTTGTATTCATTTATACAAATAAGATTTCATATGTTAACTGACTTAACGTGTAAATTCTGTGGAGCTATTTTAGCATGTACACTTGAAGGTATTCTATTTAGTGTTGGAATGAATATTTTTTATTTTATTTATTTATTTAGGAATGAATATTTTAATTCATCAGTTCTTCAGAGGTTTTTTGGAGTTGGTTAAGGGCAAATAATCTGAAGACTGTATGGTGTTTCTGTATGGTCTAACTACTTCTATCGTGTTTGTAACATGTACTAACATCAAAGCTTGTCCTTTTTTTAATAGCTTGCTATTAAAGTCTCCTTTGGGGGGGTGGGGTATCCTCTCAATCCTTTTTGCCTTCTTATTTCTTTTGGTTAAGGTCCTGCCTGCTTACAATCTGATTTTTTTTTAAAAATCAACTTAATAACAGAGGTTCAGGTCGGTTTTCCTTTTCCTTTTAGACTTGCATGGATTTGTCCAGAGGGACTGGTGTGTAGCTGAAGAATATGAGACTGGGCAGCACAGACGGGCCAGGCTGGCCACGGGGGGTGTGAAGTCAACTGCAGTGGCACCCCACTTGGAAATGCTTGTGCTCATTGCTGCCTGTTTGGGCCTAACTCCCAGATTTTTTTTTCTTTTAGAAAACTGTAACCATTTCAGACCTTGGTCCTGCAACGTACAGTGGAAGCTCTTGTGGGGATGACCAGAATGGTCCCAAAATCGCAGTGCAGTTTGGATCTGGTTTTTCCTGGACTGTGAATTTTACAGAGGAGAAGTCTTTTTATTCAATCGACAGTATCTCATTTTCCTACAACACGAATGATAACACAACATTTCCTGATGCGAAAGAAAAAGGTAACCTTAAGAATTGGATTGTGTTGTGTTCTCTTGCTCTTGATTAATAATAAAAAGAAATGTAAATAATTTAAAAGCCATCCTTATGCAAGTCTGTCCTCCTGTTTGTAATGGAAACATCATGTCTTTGTATTCCCTTGCATGGCATAGTGTTGGACACAGTAAGGATATTTGCTGTCATTGCTTGGTGCTTTACTATGTACCATGTATCAATAGTATCCTAAGTGTGTTGCCAGCAGCATCTCACTTAATCTTTAACAGCAACCCTGGGAAGTAGATGTTATCTCAATTTTACAGGTAAAGGGAATGAGGCTTGATGAGATTAGATGTCTTTCCCAAAGGTCACACAAGCTAGTAAGTGCATGAGCTGGTGTTTGAACCAAAGTGTGGTGAGCTTACAGAATCCATGCACTTAACTACTATTATTTATTTCATTCAATAGTGGGCATTCAACAAATGTTGAATGAATGAGAAAATCCTTTACTAATAACTATTTTATTTTATTTTATTTTTTATTTTTTTCTTTTTAACATCTTTATTGGGGTATAATTGCTTTACAATGGTGTGTTAGTTTCTGCTTTATAACAAAGTGAATCGGTTATACATGTACATATGTTCCCATATCTCTTCCCTCTTGCGTCACCCTCCCTATCCCACCCCTCCAGGCAGTCACAAAGCACCGAGCCGATATCCCTGTGCCATGCGGCTGCTTCCCACTAGCTATCTACCTTATGTTTGTGAGTGTGTGTATGTCCATGCCTCTCTCTCGCTTTGTCACAGCTCACCCTTCCCCCTCCCCATATCCTCAAGTCCGTTCTCCAGTAGGTCTGTGTCTTTATTCCTGTCTTACGCCTAGGTTCTTCATGACATTTTTTTTCTTAAATTCCATATATATGTGTTAGCATACGGTATTTGTCTTTCTCTTTCTGACTTACTTCACTCTGTTTGACAGACTCTAGGTCTATCCACCTCATTACAAATAGCTCAATTTCGTTTCTTTTTATGGCTGAGTAATATTCCATTGTATATATCGGCCACATCTTCTTTATCCATTCAGCTGATGATGGGCACTTAGGTTGTTTCCATCTCTGGGCTATTGTAAATAGAGCTGCAACTATTTTAAATGTGTACAAGTTTAGTAACCTGAGACCAGCAGAAATAGTTCATCTTCAAATATTTTTTACCATTTAGGTAGGATTTTGGCTGAAAAGTAAAAAAGGTAAGGGAAAAAAGTTTTAAAAAAATGTAAGATGACTGAAATCAACATTTGCTGCTATTTTGAGAGAATTTTAGGTCAAAATGAACTTGGGAAGGCATTGGGAATTAGGCCGTTGTTGTGACTACTAGAACTGAAATGTGTGTTAAAATATTTTGAAGGCATGGATAATGGAGATTTCAGTCTTTTTTTTTTTTTTTTTTTTTTTTTTTTTTTTTGCATTACGCGGGCCTCTCACTGTTGTGGCCTCTCCCGTTGCGGACGCACAGGCTCAGCGGCCATGGCTCATGGGCCCAGCCGCTCCGCAGCATGTGGGATCTTCCCGGACCAGGGCACGAACCCGTGTCCCCTGCATCGGCAGGCGGACTCTCAACCACTGTGCCACCAGGGAAGCCCCCAGAGATTTCAGTCTTGTTAGGGATATAATTCTCTCCTTTCTCCCCCCTCCACTGAGATTGGGATATTAACACGGTGTTTGTAGTAGCTTAGCATTTCTCACAGATAGTATTTCATCCTGACCCCAGAAGCACAGGTAGATGGGCTTTAGTTTCCTGGACTTGGGGATGAGTGATTCATTTGGATTTATGGGATATCAAAAGATCATACTTTAAAGATCCAGAAGTGAATGAGCTCGTGTAAAACTTGGGAGGTATCACTAACTGAGACTTGGAAATTAAATCCTAGTTTTCTTTTTACTGATATCTTCGCTTGAGAGGATAACTAAAGAAAGTTTATTATTGGGTATCTTGGTATTTAGCTTTCTGCCATATATTGTCTTTCAGAACTAGTTTTAGGATTTGCCCCTGACTTTCACCGAGTTTAAAAACTAGTTGGAGAGACAAAGTGAAGTTGTTTACCCAAGTTACATGGATAAATCGGAAAGCATTGAGATCCTTGTGAATTTGTTATTGTTAGTGTTTTGGGCATGGAGGGTTCATAAATCTTTCTGACAATGTGAGGAAAGCTCTAGACCCTCTCAAAGTACAGAGTAAACTGCATATGGTACACAGTCCCTGAGCCCATCAGTGGATGCCTCTGGACAAGAGGTCCTGATGAGGAGCAGAGGTCAGCGTGCATTGAAGGAGTGAGAAACCTTGGTGTAGAGAAGGAGGGCCTGAGCTGAAACTCGGCCTAATGGTAGATTTTGAATAAGTGGAGAATTTTGAGCAGAATATTTCCAGCAGGGGGAAGCATAGTATGCACAGCAGTAATTGGAGAGCTGCCTGATTAAAGTAGAGGCTGTGTGTGTAGTAGAAGGAAAATCAAGTTGGCTAGGTGCAGTGAGTCTAAATTATAGGGGGCCTTGGAAGCCAAGGAAAGGCATTTATAGCTTGATGGGGTAGGCACTGGGGAACCATTTTAGGTTTTTAAGCAGGAGAATGATGTAACAAAAGCAGAGACAGTAGTTTATAAAGAATGTTCTGCAGTATTAATTGGAAGTGAGGAGACTACAGGCAGAGATTCCAGTTTAAGAGGCTGTTATAGGAATCAAGTGATGATGTAATGAGTAGCCAGACCAAGGGGGGTGGCAGTAAAAGCAGATGGGGTTTAATTTGACAGATTTGATGGAAAAACTGTGGACTCTGAAAGGTTAATGCCAGTCTCTCCTCCCTTTATTTATTTTAATTTTATTTTTTTTGGCCACGCCGTGCAGCTTGTGGGATCTTAGTTCCCTGACCAGGGATTGAACCTGTGCCCTCAGCAGTGAAAGCATGGAGTCGTAACCACTAGACCATCAGGGAATTCCCTCATCCCTTTTATTTTAAACAGGGAAAGATGGAATTTTTATTGCTAGCTTCTGTGTAATATTTGCGACTATTTGAGATTTTTAAATGGTTTCCTTAAATAGACTGTTGATGATGTTTTTTTCTTTTTTTAAATAAATTTATTTATTATTTATTTTTGGGTGCATTGGGTCTTTGTTGCTGCGTGCAGCTTTCTCTAGTTGTGGTGAGCGGGGGCTACTCTTCATTGCAGTGCACAGGCTTCTCATTGCGGTGGTGGAGCTCGGGCTCTAGGCGTGCGGGCTTCAGTAGTTGTGGCTCGCAGGCTCAAGAGCGCAGGCTCAGTAGTTGTGGCGCATGGGCCTAGTTGCCCTGCGGCATGTGGGATCCTCCCGGACCAGGGATCGAACCCATGTCCCCTGCATTGGCAGGCAGTTTCTCAACTGCTGTGCCACCAAGGAAGCCCTAAAAATGACATAGATTTATAGTGTAACTCCAGTATGTCTACAGCTTGTTTTTGCACTCGTTTTGTTTTTGAGGCCTATCTACATACAGCTAGTTCATACATCTATTCACTGATGTTAACAGTGGGAAACAGTTTTGGAGAAAAATGTTCTGGTTCATTGGTTTAAAATTTTTTTTCCTTTGGCCGTTAGGGGGTGCCAAGGCGCATAAGTCCTGCCTTGCTATGTGACGGAGAGGCACAGAAGGCAGCCTATATTAAGGGCCTTGAATACCTTCCTTCCTTGCTTCTCCAAAAGAAGCTAAGCCATTTGGGTGGATAAGTGTGATCATAGTCTTTTGAAGTTTCACCATATAGGCATTATAATAACTCTGCACAGAAAGGTGGTAACTTATTGCTTTCATATTCTGAAATTTTCCTGAAATGGAATAGTCTTTAAATCCTATCCAGGAAAAGGTTTCGAAAACTCATTTTAGTTACTATAACTTACTTTGGGATAGTAGCACAAAAATAATCGTTGATTATTCCATCTCTCTTCTTTGTTTCATCACTAAGTCCTGTTGATTCTACCTTAGCTCTGTGTCTTCAATTTGGCCTCTTTACTCTCTTCTTACTGCCCCTCACTATCTTGGTTTAGGCAACTCCTCCTCGCCTTTCCCCTTAACCAGCTCATTGGCCTTCTAACTAGTTTCCCTCTTAAATGACTTTCCTTAAAAGTTTTCTGCTCTGCCTAACCTCTGCAGTTTTGCTATGTTCCTTAAAATAAATGATACATTTGTTATTCCCAGCTTTAAAAACTGAAGCTGACCTGCTATTGCTAACAAAATAAAGCCCAACCTGTCCTTAGATCATAGAAGATGCTTCAAAGTGTGACCACCTGCAACTTACCTTTCCTTCCTAATCCCCATCACGTCTTTCCTCTTACTCCTTGTGTTTCAGCCACAGTGAATTTGTCAGTTCCTGAACAGGCCTTGTCTTTTGTCACTTCAGGAATGGGGTGGGGCAGGCAGACAGAAGAGATGAAATTCTAATGTATATTTATATGATCACTTTCCTCCTACCTTCTTGGAAATAGCTACTGTTAATCTTCTTTTACAGGAGTTTTTACTGTTTCTGACCATGTGGCATTCAGAGTTCCATTGAATGACATCTTTAGATGCAATAGTTTATTAACCTTAGGAAAGAATGATGTTGTCCAGCACTATTGGGATGTTCATGTACAAGCTTTTGTCCAAAATGGCACAGTGAGCACAAAAGGTGAGCACTTAAAATATATATATTTCTATACTTGGGTCCTAACTTAAGATTAGAGTATACCAGGTAGCTTTAGTTGAAGTCGTTATCTTAAAGTATTTATATGTTAAGACTTACACCTTACTCTGCACTGTAAAGTTTTTATAAATAACAGCAATTCTTATTCTTGTGGAACTTGCACTTTTAAGTTTCTGATGTACATGTTGTGGAATGGTCTTTTAAAATGTGCTACCTGCAGTGTTTTCACTGGATAAAACCTAATCTTTGTTTGAACAAATCCTCAGATAGCATTTGATCCTCAGCTCTTCAGCTTTTGAAGATCCAAGACGAAGGCTGAGAAATGGGATTTCTGTGTTCTAATCTTGACTTTTATAAATTGATTTTGTAACTTTTATGTGACTTTATTGGCAATACAATAATTTCTCGTGCACCAGTTCTGGAAAACTACCAACACTTCCTAAGAAGAGGTTGAAATAAAAGGTTCATTTGTATTTAAATTCTTCAATGATTTTTAAACTTTTTTCAGTTAAAAACAGTATCTTTCCTTATACTGGTTATATGTGGAAAAGAAGAGGGCAGGCCTAGGTAGAGGCAAACTGTTTTCAAACTTAAACCTCTGATTTTCACCTCAGAGGCAGATGAAGTTTTGGGGGAACAAAGGGACTTAAGGGTATGAAAAGATGAGTGTGTGGCCACGCATGAGTAGATAATGCATTTGTATGTGTCTGGAGCCTGTCTGCCATGTCATAACTCTAAAGACTGTCTGCATATGAAGCAGCAGTTTGAGGACCTCTGCCTCATTTAGTTTAAAATAATACTATTAAGATATTCTCTACCCTAAATATAACCCTTTTGGACTTTTATTGTGAGAAATATTTTGCTCTTCCCTGGCCTTATGAATTAAAAAATTTATTTTGTCCTTTGTTTCAGAGTTTTTGTGTGATAAAGATAAAACTTTAACCACAGTGCTGCCCATCGTTCCCACCACTGTGCCATCTCCTACTACAACACCCTCTCCAAAGGAAAAGCCAGAGGTTGGATCCTATTCAGTTGTAAATAGCAATGGGACATGTCTTCTGGCTACCATGGGGCTGCAGCTGAACATTACTCATGATAAGGTATAGTTACCTGTTTTTATTGATACATTCTTTCTGTATCTCCTTTCAAATTTAGTGGGTCCAGACTTCACCCCAAGAGTAGTGTTATTAGAATGATGCAGTTTTAAATAGAGATTTGTGTTGACTTGTAGAGTTTTGATTAATTTGAGTTATTATAACCGTGAAGAGTTAATGTCACTGTCAAGGTGTTGTATTGGCCAGCAGGAAACCTAGTAGTTTAAAGGACTCTTCGGAGTGTAGATTTTTTTTGCCATCAGTAGATCAGAATACGAGCAGTTGATCTTTATTTCAGTTAGTTTAAAATATAACTCCTTCACACTTTTACCTGAACCACACTAGGTGTGGAACAGTGCAGCTGTTTCTCCAGCTATTTGGTGACTTGAATGGTATAGGTAGATAGGCAGATACAGGTAGGGGTGTACGATGGCACTTCTGGTTGCAGTGCTCTACTGGGGCTACAGAGGGCGTGCCAGCAAACCAATCCCATTTTCAGAGTCCTGGGATTTTAAACAAGCTAGACAGATGGCTCTTGTGCTCCATTAAAAAATGTGTTTTCATTTGGCTCATTATTTGAGGAAGCTTTCCTGTTGTCTTCCTTTTTTTTTTTTAAGTCTTCTGAGTCATAGCTTGAGGACCTGGGCCAGCTTTGAAAGTAAGGTATCAAACACTTAAGTATCCATATCTAGGAGACAAAACGATTTTTTTGTTCTCCACGAACTTGGTCTTATTAGAGTATAAGGTTTTGCTGTAGATTTTTATGGTTCATCTGTACCTCTCTCCCTCTTCTTCCCCTGAAGGTTGCTTCGGTTATTAACATCAATCCCAACACAACCAACTTCACTGGCAGCTGCCATCCTCAAACTGCTCTACTTAGGCTGAGCAGCAGCAGCATCAAGTATCTGGACTTTGTCTTTGCTGTGGTGAGTAACAGGTTTATCAAAACTTAGGGGAGCACATCTGAAAGTCTAAAAAGGGGTGTGTGTGTGTGTGTGTGTGTGTATGTATTTGTTGAGAGGGATAATTACCTCTATTTTCCATTTCAACACTACTCAATTATAAAGTGTATACAGTCCATTGATCCCTGTTAATCCCTCAGGGTCACTTCGATGTTCTGTGGGCTGGACTCGAATTCTGCTATTCTGTTTTTATGTAGACCTTAGGGTAGGAGTAAGAATTAACCCATATTAAAAAAAAAAGTCTAATCTATCCATATAGATATATGTTACAATAAAGTTTATTTATAAAAGACAAAGTAAGTTCCATAATATTTTCTCTACTATTGGTTAGAAAATTCTCATGTTTGTCTGTTATAATATTTTAGGCTTTTTCAAGGCTATATATTTATAATAGTATCAGTAATAATGATAGCTAACACTTATTGAGTACTCAACTATGTACAAGGCTCTGTGCAAGTACTTTACGTGCATTACGTCAGGATAGTTTATAATGGCAGCATTCAGGTTTTTGTTGTTCATGATCGCATCAAGGGCTGAACCCTAAGCAGAAGTTTCCATGCATGTTCTGCTTCTAGGTAGCGTAAATTGATCATTGGGGACCTTTATTTCCACCTTCTCAGAAGCAGTTGTTACCCCATAATTTTTCAATGTGTGTGTGTGTGTGTGTGTGTGTGTGTGTATGTGTATGTACACATGTTACAGCAGATTGGAATGGGGAAGAGGGGCTATCAATGAGGGAAAATGTTGGACCACCAAAGTTATTGTATAAGGGCCTAAAAAACAGTTCTGCTTTCAAATCGGATTACTCTTATCTAGGGATGGGGAAATAGTCTCAACGTCTGATATATGAAAAGTTAGGCATGTCTTTGTTTTGTGTCTGAACTTGGTATTTTGAGTCTAAAGCCTCTTTTCTCTATGGAATACATGCTGAGTAATTGAGGATTATATTTTAGAAAGGTTTATAAAAACCTTCCCCTTTCCAGCATTCAAATAATTACTCCGTTCTAGTACATATATGACCAGTGAATTACTATTAAGAATGTCTAGTTAAGCTTGTCATCTTCAGTGTGATAAGAGCAGGCTTCCCAAGTTACCTCACAGAGATTATATTATAGTCAATAAGAATGAAGAAAGTAATATTTTAGATTCATTCCCCTTTGAGTGATTGAGCTTGATCTTTCTAGCTGAGGTAAGATCCTAACAGGAACATGGTTTCTTCTGACTCTCATGGGGAAACATGTAATATTTAATGATTACAATATTTAATTGCCCAGCAGACTATTCTAAAATGTAATTCAAAATAGTGACATTTTAACCATGATATAGGCACTTTGAAAAATCAAGAAACGTCTGCAGTGTCACCAGAGTTCAGTGGGGCCCATCTCACCTTCAATCCTATCATGACACTTACTTCTAAGGATAATTTATTGAATTTGGTGTATATGCAGGATGTTATGGTGGGATACAAAGAGGAAGGCCTGTATTCTTCAGATGCCCATGGATTAGTGGTAAAGATAGCAATGTACTAATAATTACCATTTTTATGGAAGGCCTTGAATGTCATGCTGGCTTTTGGAATTGATTCTTTGGGCAAGTAGAGTGCTGTGGGATGAGTGCTAGACCAGAGGAAGATACAAAGTGCTATAAGAGTGTAGAAGAATGAGCCATTAATTCTAGCTAGAGTAGAGTCAGGAGGGTTTAACAGAGAAGATGGCATTTAAGCTGGACCTTCAAGGATGGGTCAGATTTGTACACATGGGGGAGAAGGTGGGGAGTAAGTGAAAAAGTAAAGCTACCCATGGATAAAGGAACACAATCAAGACCAGGTGGAGAATGAGACATGTAGCATGTTTAGTGAATGATAAGTTTGGAAGAGTACTTGGGACTAATTGTAGAGAGCCTTGAATGCCAAGCCAAGGAGAGATGCGATAAGGTTGTTCAGGTCCTCTTTATGCTTCCTCCTGAAATTCTCTTAGTCTGCCCCCTGGTTTTCATTCCCTACTGATTCAGGCCTGCATTACTTCTTACCTGGATGTTTCACACAGCCTCCTAACTAGTCCCATCTCTTCCTCCCCTCCCCCAATGTACTTTGGCATCAGCTTGATCTTCCTGAAGCTCAGCTCTTCCTCAGAAACCTGCAGTGGTTCTGTTTTGCCGACAAGAAAACATCTAAATTCCATGCCAGGGTAGTTCACGCCTCCCCTCCCTGCCATGCAATGTAACCTGCATATCCAGCTTTATGATTCCTTCTTTCCCTTTATATGAATCTCATGCTTCCCTTACCCTGTTCCCTGTGCACATCCCAGGCTCTGCAGCCAGACTTCCTGGTGCCAAATCCCAGCTCACCGACTACTGTGTAGCCTTGTGGAAGTTACTCAACACCCTCCATAATTCAGTTACAAAATGGGGTGTTGTAATTCTTCCATTCCATGAAGCCTCATATGTAAAGTTTTAAGAACAGCGCTTGTCACTTTGTAAGTTCTCAAATGCTCGTGTGCTTGTGATTATGCTCATTTTCTGACTACCTTTACTCATGTGGTTGCTTTCTCGAATACTCATTTCTGCTTGTTTCCTAATTGAATCCTACCCAATTCAAATGGCCCATCCCTAAGCTTGTGTTATCTTTGCTCCTCCCTTAGTTGGAAGTAACTTCTCGTCTTTTAATTTTCATAACCTATCACTTTTTTGTAATATGGTTATTTATTTATATCTATCTTCTCTTACCTGGCAGATTGCAAACGCGGTGGGGGCAGGAACCATATCTGGTCCATTTTGATGGCTCCCTGGAACACTTAGATATGTTACCTTGTACATAGTAAAAGCACTGAAATAATTAGAATGACTGGCTAATCAGATGAGTGCTTCAGAAAGAAAATAGCAGCGAAGGAAAGGTTAGAGCTGGAGAGGCTGAAAGGCAAGGAGCCCCGTTAAAAGGCTGTTGTGATCCAGGCTAGAGGTGGTGAGGGCTCAGAAAGTGATAGAAAGAATGGAATGGAGGGAGTGAATTGCTGAGTGTCTAAGAACCATATGAGCACACCTCTGGTCCAAAAGTTGGAAACAAAATGAAGAGGGAAAGGGTTTCTGTCACATTTTGAGTCCCTTTACTTAGTTGCAGTTTATTCTACTGGTCCAGGTCTAATCCATGGTTTTATCTTCTGGGTAATAGTATTAGATTGCTTTCTTTCTGTAGATGTTAACTGTACCTGTAGACAGTTGTGATGCATTGATTAACTGGAAGCTCTTTTTCACACAGAAAAATGAAAACCGATTCTATCTAAAGGAGGTGAATGTCAGCATGTATTTGGTTAACGGCTCTGGTAAGCAAAACATTGGCCTCTGGGAAAAAGAGTATGGGTTACACTGAAAGAACAGAAACTGTAATTATCTTGTTACCAAATAGTGCCTTATTTAATGGACCAGAAGATTCTATGTCAAAATTGTACTTTGACCATAACTTAAAATCAGTAACTTAGAACTAGAGTGTTCTATCTTTTGCAGTATCCCATATTTTCAAAGCATGGTAGATAATAGTTAACGATGTGAGTGAGTTTTAGACTGTAGAAACATCTATAGAAAGATACGGAACCTAGTGATCTTAAGAATGGCTTTTTGTGGGCAGACCCTGTACCCTAAGCCCCCATATTTCACAGAAAAATCCTGGGGACTGTCCCATTTTTTTTTTTGTTGTTGTTGTTGATGGGATAAGAAGTTACTAACATGTTTTTTTTTCCCCTTAAAGTTTTTAGCATTGCAAATAACAATCTCAGCTACTGGGATGCCCCCCTGGGAAGTTCTTATATGTGCAACAAAGAGCAGACTGTTTCAGTGTCTGGAGCATTTCAGATAAATACCTTTGATCTAAGGGTTCAGCCTTTCAATGTGATGGAAGGAAAGTATTCTACAGGTAAGAATCAAGCAAGTTTTATTAATAATTTATGGTCTTAGGTTGACTGCTGGGTGGCTTTTCCTTTGAGTCATGGGAATATAAGCACTGAAATACAGGAATATGAATTCACCTCTCGACTCTGTTGTAGAGTTCTCATAGCCTTGAGCAAGTTGTGTAACTATATTTAGCTCATCATTTTGCTCAAATTAGATTTGTTTTGTGATCTCAAAACCATTTGCAACAAAGTTTTTAAAGCTAAAACTGAGGAGATTTAAGTGAGCTTTACTTAAGGTGTAGACATTTCTCCATGGGTTGTAGTTTGTGGGAAGGGTGGCACTTGGGAGCAGCAGTTTTTGAGCATCTTGCTCTGCCTTCTTGGGGCCATCTTCTCGCTGGAAACATTTTCATACCAGAATTAAAGCAGTTTGGTCTCATTTTGTTAAGACAAAAGATTGCAGTAGGAAAGCCTCAGATATCATGACCTATGTTTTGGCCAGCCAGAAAGATCTGGAGAGTTTTAAAAGCATGTGCCAGTGTGAATGAGGCTTTTTGAAGGTCTACTCAGGGCTAATGGTGGTATTTATCAGATTTTTAGTGAAAGCTTTGTGAAGGGCTTATTACAGTGTGTTTATATGAATATGAAAGATGCATTTGGCATTACAAGATTAAAATTTGCTTGAAGAGGAAAAAGTACATAAAATTCCTTAATTGACTCGTCCTTTAAAACCAATTACTTAAAATTGACGGTTTGTGGATCACAGTTCTGCCCAGCAGAGCCATCCCAGTCATCCACATCCTTTTTAACAATTAATTCTATGGTTTAGAAGGAAATGTGGAAGCTGTGTTTAAAGTGAATGTGCTGTGAGCTGCTCAGCAGTTTTGCAGTAGTGCTGAACACCTAGCCTGACTTGGTTAGGCCAGAATAAATTGGGCTCTTCACCCTACCATTCTTGTGATTAGAAGGGTTAATCACAATTTAAAAGTACTTTCAAGAATTCTTTCCCCCTTTGTCAGTTTTGCTTACAAACTTCAATTATTTTGATCCTTTAATAGTTTTACTTTTGAGTCTTTATTGATCTCCCCTACATTATTACCTTAATTTTAGGTCCAAATTTGTGTTTAGAACTTACAATCATTTGCAGTGTAAAATCCGCTCAAGCCTGTTTATCTAGTCAGCTGTAATAGACATGAGCTGTGGTTTTTCTCTAATTTGAAACTTTGGTTTTTATGTACATAGAATTAGAAATGTCACCCAAAGGAGTATACAACATTTAGTACTGATAATGAATGCGTAATCTATTTGTGGAGCTAGGTTCTTGACTGTGGGTACCTATAAATACAACACACTGGTAATAATTCACTGTTTAGGAGAGGAAATAGACTTTCAGTAAGGTAAGAGTGTTGATTGGATTTTACTGGATCAGACTACTGTCTAGAAATGGGGAAAATAGCCCCTGTGGGCTGCCAGCCCTGACCAGATTGATAAATGTGGTAAACACACTCAAATTAGTAAGAGGTCCCAGTTCTTGACTTTTGCAGCCACTAAAAGCATATACTTGAAGTCGGGAATCTGCAAACTTTTTCTGTAAAGGCTCAGACAGTAAGTGTTAGGGTTTGGAGGCCATGTGGTCTCTGTCACAATTATTCAGCTCTGCTGTTGTAGCATGAAAACAGCCACAGGCAATAAGCAAATGAGTGAGGCTGTGTTCCAGTAAAGCTTTACTTGTGGATACTGAAACTTGAATTTCATATAATTCTCATGAATCACAAAATCATCATCTTTTGTTTTTTTTCCAATCATTTAGAAATGTTCAAAAGGCATTTTTAGCCCTTGGGCCAGATTTGGCTCACGGGCTATAGTTTGCCCGATCTTTGCTCTAAAGGATTCCAGAGCCAGCATGGCTGTTTTAATCCCACAGTTAAACCTTCCTGATCTGCTCCGAGTTTCCCAAAAGACATTCACTCTACCACCAAGAGTCTAATCCTGCTATGTAGCTATGTGGCTAGATTAGCTCTCTTCATTTCTGATAAAGTAATACTCCTATTTTGGAAAGCACTTGGAACATATACAAAGAAATACAGACACATGTATGTGTTTTACTCAGATATAAATGAGTGTATATTCATATATATCTATATATATACACACATACATGAATGAAAGGACAAATAAGGTTTAGGATTTTAATTCTAGGACACTGCATAATTTTATGTAGCTTTATCACTAAAATATACCTGTCTTAATTACTTTAAGTTGATCTTATAAGAGCATTTCTGAATTTTGAATATCAACATCTTTTACTTTTGGACATCATTTTTTTTATTATACTCATTATTTGTTACACACTTTTTCTCACCTACAGCCCAAGAGTGTTCGCTGGATGATGACACCATTCTAATACCAATTATAGTTGGTGCTGGTCTTTCAGGCTTGATTATCGTTATAGTGATTGCTTACCTAATTGGCAGAAGAAAAAGTTATGCTGGATATCAGACTCTGTAACACTAATCCACATGTGACTCTGTTACAAAACAATAAAGCAAGTACAAGATCCAAGATCCAACATGCAATACTATTCGATTTAAGGTATATATAGTTGCAGTTCTGATCTTAACAACAGGTGGTACAGAGGATTTTGAACTTAAATAGATAAAAATACCCCTAAAACTATAAACTATAAATTAGTCACATGATTTTGGTTTTCCCAACTAAGGAATTTAAAAGTTATTTCTACAACAAAAAACATGTGCAAAATCACGTGGATTATAGATTCTATTTTATTGTCTTGAATTAGTATTGCATTGTTCTCACTTTAAACATTCTGACTAGAAATATACAGCTTAGGAAAGGGTTAACCGCACCTCCACATGTAGTCGATTTGAGACAACACATTCTACGGTGGATTTGTACTTGCTCCTTTGCATTTTTTGGTGATTTTGTTTGCAGGTTAACTTAGCTGCTTTGGCATTGCTGTGTATTTGACTATGAGAGATATGCCAATAGATTTGAACAGGGTCTAGTATTATTATGTTCTTAGCAATGCATGCTTTTCTAATGCCTTTTGAATCCATTTGTATTTAATGTGGCTGTAGTGACAAAAGATACAAAAGCTTTAAAATTTTGGAATAGGTGTTAATCTTGTTTAATCTTTTTAAGAAAAAAACTGGATATTTCCGTCTTTTAAATTGTAAGACACAAGACTATTCCAACTGGGCATTTCAATCTATTTTCTAGATGTTTTAGAGATAATTGCTAGGCAGTGCCAATTTGGGGTGTTAGTCCCTTGTACCCGTAAATTGGCTTCTACATGCAGTGCTAAAATTAATGTAGATTTCTCTTTAGCTTTCTAGTATCCTTGTTGGTGATGGTTTGTTTTATTCTCTTCTTTTCTTTTCCTTAAAGAAGAAATGCCAGTATGTCCTAGAACCTAGATAAAGAACTTGCACCTAACCCAAAAGTCTTGGCCTTCTCTTTGTTCATGAAAAAGCTGTTCTTTGTTTCCAGCTTGTGTTGATTGCTACAACATTTACTAATTTGGCTTTCACATTTAAATAGTTCTGTGCTAATCAAAACTTACATTATTATTTTTCATTATGGTAGCATCATCATTAATTCATGTACTTTGTGTTCAGCTCTGTGCTCTGGGGAGTTGCACCAATTGTCCATTAACCTGCACCACCTAATGTTTATATGAGAAAGCAAAACATTTCTGCTTGATAGTTAGCACATCAAGTATTTCTTGCTGCTTTTGTCTTTCTTCCTTTTTTTTTTGGTATTGAGATGGCTGAGCAAATATTAAAAAATTGTTAACATGCAGCAATATATGGCAGGTTCCGTGTTTGGGGGGATGGGAGATTATGTGTGCCTCCCATTCACTAGAAAATGAGATATCTGGGTTCCAAAATGTTGTTTGCGTTGAATAAATTTGGTAGTCTAGTGACACACACACAGAGGCAATTGCATGTTAGCATGTGTATGTCTATAACTACCTTTCGAGTTATATTGGCATGATAAATATTTTCTCCCACCTAAATTTGCTCTCTGTTTAGAGTAGCCTGAAAATCTTATTGGCTCAGAATAAGATTCCTGACTAAGCCCCTCTCTAAAAGCTACATTGAGCTGCATTGCCAGCTTAAGGCACTTTTTAAAGGCTAAATATAAATCTGATTTTTAAAAAAAAAATTTTATTTAAATAGTGTTTTAGTGTAAGATTGTTAACGTTGTCAGAATGGATAATGCTTGCAAGAATGTGAGCCTTAGATATTTCTCATGAGTCAAAACAAAGCAGCTTTTTTAAAAAATAAAAATTGGAAGCACAAGTGGGTGGCACACTGGCTTAATGCTGTTAATGTTTCTAAAAGTTTCTACCTTTAGATTATATATCTGATTTATATTAAAATACCTCTAATTAGTACTGTTTTATAGAAAATCTGACCTAATTGAATATTTTTGTATTTTACATGGGCCAGTTTATATGCTATCATTTACACTATCATTTCCTATAGCCATGTGTTCTTTGTACCTTTTGTAGTTTTGCTTTAACGGATTTACACCTTGATGATCTAACACTCTATTTGGTTTCTGGGTGTTTTTCATGGGTTAGCATTTGTATAAAGAAACTGGTCCATGTAAATACTTTCCATGTTTTTTCCTCAGATGTTTAAACCACTAGTTGATGTATGGTATTTCTCTTCAGATATTTGCCTGTCCATTTGCTCAACATATTGCTTCTAAAACAAACAATAAAGATTCTTTTATTTCTTAAGGAAATTTGCTCACATTTCTTTCCCATTGGCTAAAGTCTAGATTTTGTATACTACATAATGGCAATTTCTTCCAAAAGGAAAAACTTAAGAAATGCTTAGAAGTAGAATTAATTATTTCCAGAATGTTCTGTGTATTGCTGTCTGGAAGAGTGGTCCCATACATAGGTCCCTACTGATGTTGGAGTGGCTACAGAGTAAGAATCAGGTCTGGGATGAGACGTGTGTGGCGCGCACTTGTGTGTGTGTGTGTGTGTGTGTGTGTGTGTGTGTGTGTGTGTGTGTAAACTCCCCAGCTGAATCTAATGTTTAGGCAATTAGGAAACCAGTGATCTAGAACATTTATTTCATAGTAAAAGTGACAGAATATCTCTGTACACTTTTCTCAGGTCCTAAATTGAGGCTGATATTTAGTATCTGTACTAGGTCAGCCACACAAACTGACCTATTGATCCGAGCCAAAATAGGATTGTGTGTAATTTTTTTTTTTTTTTTTTTTTTTTTTTTTTGGTGGTACGCGGGCCTCTCACTGTTGTGGCCTCTCCCATTGCGGAGCACAGGCTCCGGATGCGCAGGCTCAGCGGCCATGGCTCACGGGCGCAGCCGCTCCGCGGCATGTGGGATCTTCCCGGACCGGGGCACGAACCCGTGTCCCCTGCATCGGCAGGCGGACTCTCAACCACTGCGCCACCAGGGAAGCCCTAATCTTTCTCTCAGATCACCTTAAAATTCTTGAACCTTCCAATTTCCAGATAGCTTCCCAGTCCACCTTAGTATATCACACACACAAATTTAGCAGCCTGGCTAGTCGCTTTCCTCTGGATTACCCAGTTAAGCCACGTGACTGCCAGTTACTCATCAGAGCTCCCAGCTCTACTAGCTACCATGTGACTTGGTCAAGCTACTCAACTGGGGTCTCTCTCGTTTTTTCATCTGGGGACTGAGGGCTGTTAAGTCCTGTTACTCTTATTTCTTTGAGTGATAGTTTTTCATTTCAATGAAGAAAAATATACATTTGAGTATTTTTAGAAGGAACCTGATTAGAAGCTACATCTTAGGCATCAAGAACATGTTTACATACAGTGTAAAACACACCATCTGAAGTTTCTTGCGTTTTTTTAGGAGGAATTATTATGAGACTCAGATATTTTTAGGATTATAGCCTTTTATCTCTGTTTATTTAGATAGATAATGTTACATTGTCTTGGGCTCAGCTCTCTCCTACCTATCTCCTGATCTTTTACCCTGGTATATAACTTTCTGCATCAATAATTACCATATCTTATTTTTGAAACTAGTATAGAGTAGCTTCAAGTTTCTTTTCAGATTCATGTAATATATTTCAAACAGTTTGACTATAGATCTAAAAGGTATATAATAGATAAGATGTCACATAAGGATGTGCTTCTAAATGCTGATTCTTCCAAAGAGAATTTTTGACACATTGGTTTTGAAGAGGTGTTTGTTTTATACTTTATTATAAATGTACATCTTGGCTTTTCAGCCCTCACACTGAAAACTGGATTTGAAAAATTTCTGAACTAACAGAAAATTGAAGATTAACAGCATTTAAAAAATCTACATGAACCTTTCCATTGAAATTTCAATGGTCAATGAAACTTTGTCTTTAAAAATCTTCATTGCTTCCGTGACTATTAAACTCTTCTACAAATACACTTTTCCTTTCCCCAGAAAGGTCTCAAGTGTACATAAGGCAAATAGATCAGGTCAAAATGACTTATAGAATGAGGTTTTCTTTTCTTGGATGTGATTTTATTAAAATTACTGTTTTACCAAAATTTCTTTCATTACCTAAAGAATTTTTAAAGGCCGAATTCATAAAAATCAATTATTATAAATTAATACTTCACATACTGAGAGCATTTTAAGTAAATGACAGAATCTAGAAAGATCTTTGTATTAGCAGAATTGCCTTTTTGATCTACTCTGGGAATATTTGTCTTGCATGAAAGCCTTAAGAAAGCCTTATTGGCAGTATTTATGAAAGTCGTTTCAGTACTAGGTCAAATACCCAATTTGGGAAAGAGGACTATGAATTCGTTGCCAGAATAAGAAATTAATCTAATGAATTTTTTAAAAACCAAGTTATATTAAATCCAAGACATAATACTTTATGGTCATGTCACCTAATAGTTTATATGCTGGGTGGTAATTTGGGAAATTGAAGGGGAGGAGCTAACTGGGTGCTCTTAACACCATATATTCACAAGTCACATCTGGCAACCTCAGCTATCTGGATTTTTAACAAAACCAAGAAGCAAGTATAAAAGATCATTGAGCTGGCAGCCAAAATTGATGTCATAAAGTCCATAAACTCTAGGATTGCATCTTGTTCCCAGTTATTGCCCCAGAGACTAGCAAAAGGCTGGCACATTTCTTACATGCAAACACAATCAGATGTGCCTTGCAGCTATTCATTTTTATTTTCGGCACAGTTCTAATAAGTTTAATTATCTGATTTATCAATCCCTGGTAAATTGCAAGCTAGGAGGAGAACTAGGGCAATAAGAGGCAAGGAAGTGGAAAATAGAAGCAGTGGTTCAACACGCTAGCCACCTCCTCTCTCTGCAAACATATCTCCATCTGCACTATCCCTTTCTTCTCCAGTCTCAGTAGGTTTTCTTCTGGTCAGTGCTTCTGGAATCCCATTTCCCCTGCCTCCCAGGAGACTTTGTACCATCGTCTTCAACCTGTAAAATGCTCATGGCTCTTTCCCACATCCTGTAACCACAAGTCTCTTCCACCCTGAAGGTATCCTTTCTTGACCCTGTGTCCCCCTTCTACCTACCTACCTTTCTTCTAAACGTCTCATAACGAGTACTGTGTGTTCCCCATCCCAAGTTCTTGATCTCCTAACCAGTCAATCATTTCCCATTCACTCCTAAACCTGCAACAATTTGACTCCTAGCCCCCACCCTCCGTATTGCTACATCCAGTGGACATTTCTCAGGCGTCTCTAATATTTTACACTGTTCTCCCATGATAATTGAAACTGTTTCCTTCCTTGGCTTCTGTGGCACCATTTTCTACCTGCCTTTCCTACTTTTTCCTGCTCCTTGATTCTTCACATATTGGTGTTCCCAAGAGTTTTATCTCTGATCCTCTTATTACTCTTATCTGCCCTTGCTGAGAAATATCTTTGTCCCTGGTTTGAACTAGCACGTCAACCACTTGGTTAGGACGTAGGTATCTTAAACTCAGCAGATCTAAAACGGAATGTCTTCCTCTTCCACATATCCCTCTCCACCCTCCCCCGACATGCAAATTTTAAAAATTAAATTTAAAAAAACCCACACAAAAATAACTACAAATAAAACTGAAATGCATATATTCCCCCTGTATTCCCTATCACTATGAATGGCACCAGTGTCTACATAATCAAGGGATTGGAAGCCATTCTACAATATTGTCTCCTCCTACATCTGTTTGGTCAGTTCTGTCTTCTAATTGGATCTCTAGTCCATCCCTTCTGCATCTGCACTTCATTAACCAAGTTCAGGACCATATTATTCGTCATCTGACTTCTACCAGTAGAGTTGCTTCCTAACTTAATACCTCCAGTCTTCCATCTGCCATAACTTCTGAAAAAAATATCCTGCTTAAAATTCTGCAGAAATTTTTTTTGGGGGGGCCATCAGTATAAGGCCAAACTACCTAGAGCATACGGTGCCTTTGTGAGCTGATCCTAGTACCGTTTTCCACCTCTTTTCCAAGAGTACCTCTTTTATTTATTTATTTATTTATTTTTTTGCGGTACGCGGGCCTCTCACTGTTGTGGCCTCTCCCATTGCGGAGCACAGGCTCTGGACGCGCAGGCTTGGCGGCCATGGCTCACGGGCCCAGCCGCTCCGCGGCATGTGGGATCTTCCCGGACCGGGGCACGAACCCGTGTCCCCTACATCGGCAGGCGGACTCTCAACCACTGCGCCACCAGGGAAGCCCCAAGAGTACCTCTTAATCCATTGTTCTAGCTATGCCAACCTGCTTGCATTTCACCCGAAGTGCTGTTTTCTTACCCTCCATAGTTTTGTCTGTGCTTTCTATACCTGGAACACCCTTCACCCATTACCTGCATGGTTAATTCCTACTCATTCTTAAAAATTCAGCTCTGGTGTCACCTCTTTCAAACTGTGTCTTGTGTAACAAGGCTGAGTTGAGTGTGCCTCTGAAATATTTCGATGACACTGTGTGTTCCCTGCCCCTATTACAGCACATTTTGAAATTATAACCGCTGATTTTCTTATCTGACTCCTACACCAGACTGAAATCTTGAGGCAAACAGTTATGCAATCAGGGCCAGTTTATACTTTTTCTTACTACTAAATGGCCCCATATTCCTATGCATTGAGTTCTTACATCTGCTTTATGTAGTTGTTCATTTGGTTCATTTCATTAATACTTCCCAATCTGCAGTGTTCCAGGCACTGTGCTTCTTCAACATCATAACAATTTGCCTCTGAAATCTCACAGCCTGATCATCAAGGAAAGGCTAATTATATTTATCCATTATCTTCCATTTGAAAAATCTGTGAAGTATGTGATCATTTTATATATCTTTCATCCAAAATGACTGCATTTTTGGGGGTACTTAAAAGTATATGATTTGGTTATTTGGAAAATCACTTTTGTGGAACATCTCATTTGCTGGTAATGAATTCCAATGACTTGTTGCCTTGGTGTAAAAAACAAATATGTGTGTTGGGAAGTACTGTCATTTTAACTTAAAATGTACAGATCTGAAATTTTGTCACTGTTTCTGTTCTCAATTGTGCTTTCTCCACATCTAGCTCAAGACTGCAGTGCAGATGACGACAACTTCCTTGTGCCCATAGCGGTGGGAGCAGCCTTGGCAGGAGTGCTTATTCTAGTGTTGCTGGCTTACTTTATTGGTCTCAAGCGCCATCATGCTGGATATGAGCAATTTTAGAACCTGCAGTCTGATTGATTATATAAAAATACATGCACATAACAAGATTTTCTTCCCTTTCAGTTTTGAAATACTTTGTTCTTTAAGATTGATATATTGAAACTTTAATTCTTAAATCAGTCCCAGCATTTTGAGATAATTCTTTATTAATAAAAACTGTTAATAGAACAGCATAATTTTTTTTTTAAATGTTGTACTTACTGGTCCTGAAGACAAACTAGTTGAAAAGAACATCGGTGTGCAGTGTGTTAAGGTCTATCTTAAGAAGCCTTGGCCAAATTTTGATTCTAACCCAAGATGCCTTAAACTTATTAACATGGCCATTATGAAGATAAAATATGTAGTTGTCTCCTAATGGAATTAATAAATATTGTTTCACTACCGGTGTTCTGTTTCAGTATATAAGAATTATCCTGATTTAAGCTCATCGCAGTGCCTTTGCATATAGTTCATTAAATAAATGTTGATGTGGCATAAATGCCCATCAGATGCTTAAACTTGGTTTTCAGTTGAATGTCCTCAGGACCATCAGCATTTTTTAGGTTATGTGACTTTCTTTGAAGATGAAGTCAGTATCTTTGGCTTGTGATTTTTCCCTAGGTAAAAAACAGACCCAAGAGGCTGCAGCAGAGCTTCAACTGGCTTCAGAATTAGTTTTCAAAAAACTGTTTCTTTTTCAGCAATAATAGACAGAAAGGATTCAAGCATATTTAACCAGTTGCCTTTTTAAAAATGTTTTTCTCTTCCTTGGATGCCTGATTAGCATTGCAAGATAGAAATATTCTATGAACTAATTAGGAGAGATTGTGTTGTGTTTCTCTACCTCATCTTGTTGGTCTCTAGAGCATTAAAATCTATTTAGTGTTGTCATCAGACTGGTACTTATGAGCTGTAAGCAGCAGCAATCTCAGAAGGGAGGCAGCGAAGCAAAGCAGCAACTCGGCTCCTGCCTTTTCCAAGACGGCCCCTGTGGGGCAGAGCATAGATGGGGTGTAGACAGAAGCTGTTGGCATGAAAATGAGCTAGATATTCAGCCCCTGTTGAGGCACGCTCCATGTTAGAAGTGCAGCACAGATATTGAATGTATAGACAAATAAATAAGAAGGAAGCTTAATCAGTAGACTCGAGAATTTCACATGGAAGTGATTATTTTATTAATTCATTCTGTGTATATATTGGCTTGTTCAGAATTTTTGTAATTCACTGATTACAGCATTTTGGTACCCAGCTATCAGTCTCTGAAGGCTTTCAGTAAAATACAGTAAATCTTTTTAATAAAAGCTAATGTCATTACTAAAATCTGTTCTATATACTCAGAACCTCAGCAGCATTTTTTTATGAATGACAAAAGTGCAAGAGGAGGAAGAGATAAAATTAGAGGAAAAATGCAAGTTATTATTCAATCATAAATCACACCAAGTATCACATTTTGTTAATTGCATTAGACTTATACTGGAAAGGACCTTAAAGATTCCTTACTATAACCCCATAGTTTTTTCAGAAAGAGGAGTGACTTTACTGAGGTTACATATCTAGCGGGCAACAAAACCATTATTAGCATTTTGATTAAAAATTGTCCCAATGAAGTCTAGTCACTCAATAGTAAGAATAGTTTAAACTTGAAACTGGGAGATCAGAACTGGGCACTTTGAGTTTCTGTACTAACTAATTTCAATAAATGACACATGATACCAACTTTGTTTGCTTAAGTATTTTTAAAAGTACTGAATATTGGCTTTTTCAATGGCTCCTATATTGACCTCTGCTACTTCAAAGCCTAAACCTCCTTGGATGGGATCACAAACATGGGAGGAAAAGAGAAGGGAATGAACACTTGTTGACCTCCTGATGTGTATCATATACTTTAGAAATATCATTTAATCCTCAGATACCTTATAATATAGGTATTCTTCTCCCCCTTTTACAGATGAGGAAAGTGAGGCCCAGTTTAAATTACTTGACCAAGGTCCTTTAGCTAGTAATTGAAGGAATCAAGATTCAAACTCAGTTCTGTCTCAGTCCAGAGCTCAGAAGCTACATTGCATGTGCACACCGCCTTCCTGGTGGTCCAGTGGAGTGGACTGCAATGTCCATTGGACTCTGCTATTATTCTTCCAGGCCACTGCTCAGCTAAAAATAATTACATATAACCTGATAGCTACCTAATGCTTGTATGAAAAAAATTATACTGCATTTTTCTTGATCATGAGTCCTTTTTAACTTAGATGTTATTACTCATACAGAATTCTTATTTGTATTTTCACGATAGCTGTGGCAGGGGAGAAAGGGAGTGGGGAAATACGCAGGTAGTGGTTTTAAGTGAAGATTCCCGCAGTGCTGCCCTTTCCCCGCAGTGCCGCTCTTTCCCTGCAGTGCCATTAGACAATTCAACATAAAATCTTCCCATATTAGGCAAGCACAATTCTTTGTTTTGGACCCTTTCCCGTTCTTCCCTTAACTTCTGCTTTTCGTACTGAGGAATTAGGTGTGATTTGAGATGAAGTGACAGTGAGAGATACAGGAGGATCAGTTGCTTGGAAATACTTGGGTGGACATAGTGAAAATAAGAAAATAAGGGTAATGCTGTAAAAGACTAACCTATGTACTCTTTCAAAATGCTTGTTTCTTGTTTCTGCTTAATTGCATTCCTTACTAATTTCCTTTCCTTGCTTTCTGTCTGTTCTTTTCTAACAGCTGAAGAATGTTCTGCTGACTCTGACCTCAACTTTCTTATTCCTGTTGCAGTGGGTGTGGCCTTGGGCTTCCTTATAATTGTTGTCTTTATCTCTTATATGATTGGAAGAAGGAAAAGTCGTACTGGTTATCAGTCTGTGTAATCAATTAAATCTAGTGCTTTTTGGGTTTTTTTTTTGCCATTAGAAGTTATGTTTTCCATTGGCTAAAAAGCCAGGAAATGCTGTGCAATTGATTGTTTGAGATACGCAGATTAACCTCAGTGAGTTGCTAGCTAACTTGGGCATGAGTAGCACTATTAGGGCCGATTTCTTCTTTTTTTCCTATTTTTTTTCTTCCTTTGTAAAAGTGTAATTGAAAGAAAAATTGTGGCTTAGAATATGTTTTTTTTAGTGAATAATGATTCTAAGCCTCTGGATCCAATTATGAAAGCATTTCTACTGAAGTATAATTTTATATGTTGCAGTTACTTGTATTTTGCCTCTTTGACATTATTTGCATAATCAAAGCTGTTAGAGAACTTAACTTGCTTCAGGAAATAAACTCAAGAACATAGTGAATTCGTTTTCATTGGTGGCAAACATAAAATTTGGTTTGTAATAAGACTTAGATTCCCCACCGCCTAAACAAGATTATTTAAATTCTGATTTAATTTTCCTGCTAGTTAAAAAGAAAGAAAGAAAGGAATGTCTTCATAATATTGTATTTAATAGCAAAAGTCTGGCTGTTTTCTTTATTACTGTTAGTGGCTACTATATTTTAACAAGGATGTCGCAACTAAGACTCGGTGCAGCCAAAATAAATAAATAAATATTTTTTAAAAACCCCAAACAAACACGGATGTCTTTTTTTTTTTTCCTACTGGAGTTTGGAATATATTGATTACCTCAGACTTTCCATTTATGCTGAAGGATGAAGTAAGATCTATGGCGTTTTTTTTTTAAGGTGTTGATACAGAAAGGGTTATTTTTTTTTTAGAGTTATGATTTAGAATTTTTTTCCCTTACAGCCTTAACTTGTTCACAAAGTTAATTCATCTTCCACTATAAAAACAAAACAAAGCTTCTCTATTTTGTGTGCCTCCTGTACTCTCTCATCCCCTGTATGAATAAGTTCTAATTGATAATTTTAATGTATTGGTTTCTTTTTTCTCACAGCAGCATGTGCTAACTTTAGAGGCTAGTGGGCCCTGAAGTATCATCAGTCAGATGGCTGCCTGGCCAGAGCTGGACCAGGATTGTTCTGTAAATTTGTTGATCTTGATACAGACTTATATCCCTGTAGGGACCTCTAATGGCTCTGGCTACTGGAGTAAGGTACTATAGGCCACTCCTCCCAGTGTCTGCTTGATTGGCTAGGCTATTGAATTGTCCTTTGATTTGGAAGCACACTGTTGTATTTCTCTAGTGTCCAAATGGCTGCTTTGCACTCCTGTTATTAGCATAAGGCAGATGTTTATTTTATCAAACTATTTTATCTCTATATAACTAAAAAAGAAAAGTTTCCCAAAGATCTGCCTTCACTTTAAAAATGTTCCTTGGATTGGGACTTCCCTGGTGGCGCAGTGGTTAAGAATCCGCCTGCCAATGCAGGGAACATGGGTTCGAGCCCTGGTCCGGGAAGATCCCACATGCCGCGGAGCAACTAAGCCCGTAGGCCACAACTACTGAGCCTGTGCTCTAGAGCCCGCGAGCCACAACTACTGAAGCCCACGTGCTTAGAGCCTGTACTCCACAACAAGAGAAGCTACCGCACCTCAAGAAGAGTAGCTCCTGCTCACCGCAACTAGAGAAGGCCTGTGCGCAGCAACAAAGACCCAACACAGCCAAAAATAAATAAATTTTAAAATGTTCCTTGGATTAAAAAATTAAGCCTAAACCTTAAATAAAGTTAGTTATTACATCCAAGGATTAGGTCCCCATCTACCTCTTAGCACAATGCAGATGCTCACCACTGTATTGCTGCCATTAACTGATGCCAGAACTCTTTGCCGATAAGTGAAGTTGGAAATTTTTGGTTTTTTTTAAAAAAAGAAAATTCATCAACATCTTTCTTTACTATCTTTATATGCAGTGCATCTCAAAAGCATATATTCCAAACTGGAGTAGAAATAGATTGCTCAACTACATTTCCCTTAGAACTCTCTGGTTCTGACTTGTAGACTCAAGCTCTCCTCTCTTTGCTAAGTATATAAAGAATATTTCCTTTTAAAATGTTCTCCTTTGAAAACAATTGCTTATTTGTTATTTGGTCAAAATGATGGCATCATAAAGAACAGTGGCTTTGTTTCAAAAAATATTTTTGAGATGATTGTCTAAAAGCCAGATTATTTAAATCAGCTTGTGACCTTGCTAGGTATATGGATTGGAAAATTCAGATACATTCAAAATTATGGGTTCATTTAAAAGTTTTCTACTTTTGGGGTAGGAGACTAACATCACTAATTCTTCATTGGGTATCATGGTTTTATCTTAGATAATTAGCAAACATGTTTTAATTCTTTGAGAATTAAGATTAATTGAAATATAAAATATTAACAGAGGGTTCAAACAATAACTGCTTCAACTCCAATAAAATACAGGAAGCCCCAAATCTATGAACTGAGTGTTCAATAAGCTTTGCTCACTGAGTTTATTTTTATTGTCAGTACAACAGGGGGGTCAAATAGTAGGACTTTGAACTCATAAAGAATTGTTTTTACCTAAGCTTCTTTGGAAGAACTGATGCCTGCTGCTACCTAAAGTTTTGTATATATCAATATAGTAAACTAATTAATACCTACAAAATAAATACTGTGGTACTCCTGTTTGATCTGTTGTGTGTGAATTTTAGATTGATGGATTAAAATATAATAAAGATCATACAATCTATATCACTATGGATAACTTCATTTTTATTCCATGTTCTCAGTCTTAAGAGCTTGGATTGAGTTATAAAATCTAAGTTCCTCAAATTATTGTCTTTTGAATTGTCAGTAGGACTCATATGATCTCATAGGTCTGCAAATTAACCAAGTGCCGTCATTAAGAAGGCATTAGAACCTTTAATGCAGACATTTCAAATATGGGGACCTATGTAGTCATGAAAATTACAAGAAAGTATTGAAAATAAAATATGGAAATCAAATTTAAGGGCTTCATAATAAATGTACTTTGAGCATATTATGTCTGCATTGATATAATGTACTCACTGTTGAAGTTCATTCCATTCTGAGCAAGATACACCTCAGGGATATGACGGGGCTGAGAAGGAGCTATCCATTTTCTGAAAATTCCTTATAACCCAGCCTAATGCTTAAATGTTATATGACTGGATTAAATGACATACATTCCTTTTTACATAAGAGACATTTTTGGTGGGAGAAGGAATTGAACTTTGGATCTCTCCACAGTTCCTGAGTAACAGAGTTTCATTTTCTGATAAATGTTTAGTGGCTTCTAATTCAGTCAAAAAATGGCCTTACCTTGCGTTTGTGGGACTGGGGAGGGGGTTCTCAATAGAACCTGTCTTGTCTCAGCTTTGCTGAATATATTGCACAACTCTGCACCTCATAGAGCCTCTGAAAGAAGCACTTTAAGATTATTGATAGCAAGTAGAGTGGTTCTATGTATGTTGCCATGTATCTAAAAAGTCAACTTGGAGGTCCATCTTTTTAAATTCAGTGTGTACACTGTAATGCTAGAACTGCCTAATTCTAAGGAAACGTTGCGCTTTCTCTTTGCTTTTATTGTCTGTATGTATTTTGATGGCAGTTGTAAATTTGAGTCCCTCTCTTTCAAGAGATAATGAACAGGAGAAATCTTGGTATACAATACATTTTTAGTAGGAAAATGCAGCTATAGTTTTATTTGTTCATTTTATAATTTTTTATTTATTATTATCTTTGGCTGCGTTGGGTCTTCGTTGCTGCGCGCGGACTTTCTCTAGTTGCGGCGAGCGGGGCCTACTCTTTGTTGCGGTGCGCGGGCTTCTCATTGCAGTGGCTTCTCTTGTTGCGGAGCACGGGCTCTAGGTGTGTGGGCTTCAGTAGTTGTGGCTCGCGGGCTCTAGAGCGCAGTCTCAGTAGTTGTGGCGCACGGGCTTAGTTGCTCCGCAGCTTGAGGGATCTTCCCAGACCAGGGCTCGAACCCTTGTCCCCTGCATTGGCAGGCGGATTCTTAACCACTGTGCCACCAGGGAAGCCCTATAGTTTTATTGAGCAGTTACAATGCTGTGCACTTTACACACATTTCATTTAATCCTCATAGCAACTCTCTGAGGTTGGGCAGTATCATTCCCAGTTTACAGAGGAGGTAACTGAGGCTTGAGTTGGTTACTTAACAAAAGTTCCACAAAGAGTAAGTAACAAAACTGACATTTGAGCCCAGCTCCATCTGCCTTCAAAGACCATACTCTTAACCACTATGCATCCTGGCTGCTAAGAAGCAAAAGATTTTTAAAAAACCGTGTACCTTACATTAAATGGTTACAGAAATCTGACTTCTGTACTCTTCTGTCCTACATGTAGTTACCCTGTAAATGTTCTTCCGTATTCTTAAAATAACTTTAGTTTTGTCCAGCCCACTTGAAGCAAGGACGGATGCTGTGGCAGCATGCCTTTTGAAAGATCAAACCAAGGCCAGTTTGTGCTGTACCTCATTAGTAATGTTAAGCCCTGAATGTCACTTTTTTTTTCAGAGTAGCTTCATCTAGTTATTCTGATCACGTATCATTATCATTCTGCCCTCAAACTGTTCTGCACCATGAATCATTTTGACTGTGCATTAGTGTGTTTAAGAGACTAAATGGAACTGTCTCTCTCCTCACTTTACCTAAATTAATGCCATCTCTACCCCCCAGCCGTCCCCCAGCCTTAAGTGCAGTGTAGCCATGACACTCGGCAATCCTTGCTAGGTGGTTGTGAGCCCCAATACGCAGTTCCTACTCTTAGATCTAGAGCCTTTTTGAGAGGATTTCAAGAAATCCTTATCCACATACTTAAAGTTTCCAACTATAATCTGCAGCGCTTCCCCCTGCCACCTCATTTACCCTCCTGTACTCGCTTCTCTCCAGCCATAATGGCCCTCTTGCTACCCCTCAAAGACCCTAAGGGTGCCCTCACTTCAAGGCCCTTGCGCTTGCTCTGCCTTCTACCTGGAAAGATATTCCCCCAGCTATCCTCATGGCTCACCCTCTAATCCCATGCAGGTCTCTTCAAATGTCACCTAGTCAGGGCAGCATTCCCTGTGCACTCTGTCTAATAGAGCACACCCTGCCCCCACCACTTCCCATCCCCCTTACTCTGTTTCACTTTTGTTACTTACCACCTCTTACCATCTGACATACTATATACTTGTTAATCTGTATTTCATGTTTGTCTCCCACTAGAAGGTAAACTTCATGAGAGCAAGAATCTTTGTTGTGTTTACTAGTCCGTCCCAGTCCCTAGAACAGTGCCTGGCACATAGTTCACACTGAAGAAATATTTGCTGATGGATGAGTGGTCATCTTGTGTAATAGCTAAACACTTATTAAGCACTTTCTACCTTATTTCATCAAATCTAAGATGCCATCAGTTGTAAGATAAATACTGCCAATTAAACTGTGAGAGACCTACTGGTTTCAAAAATGTGAAAAAAGTACATCTTTTTTTTTTTTCTTTTTTGGCCACACCACGCAGCCTCTCAGTTCCCCAGCCAGGGATTGAACCCGGGCCACGGCAGTGAAAGCCCGGAATCCTAACCACTAGGCCACCAGGGAACTCCCAAAAATGCACGTCTTAGAGTTGATATGTACCAGGCACTGTGGAGAGTGCTGTATGTGGATTATAACACCATTA